CCCCCCCCCCCCCTCCCCCGTAATCATCCTGGACTTCCGACACACTATTTCGTCATACCAAAGTACGTGCGTGTGTGCTTTCGAGTGCGAACGTGTACACAGATCGGCGTAATTGCCTCGGCGCGCTCGTATCGTTAGAATCGCTTACGATCTCCGAGTGTATCCTCCGTCAGCGCGTGTTTACAGTGGGAAATCGCGTGGTGGACCGGGTGTTTTCTGCTCTTGAGAGAGACAAGGCGCCGGTCTGTGTACCCCGATGAATTCGTGTACAAGGTGCGAGGGTGCGATTATCGTTGTCCGTGGAACATTCGTGAAAGGGGAGCGACCAGGAAGACACAGGTTTACGCGGTGTCGCGATGTTTTTTGGCAGGAGCGTGAGGAAAATAAAAAAGATGCGAAGAAAAACGAGCGAAAAGCACGAGAGAGAGAAAGGAAAACGTAGGCGGACGCGTTTAGCATTTGGAATTGTGTAATAATTATTGTTGCAACTGCTTGAGAGGGCAAGCCGGAGCATAGGTGCGTGACCACACTAACTCGCTTCGGCATATCGGTGCTAACCGCGCGCAATCCCGAATGTTTTGGGATTTACAGGCGTTGGTTTCTTGTCAGGCCCGTTTGCCTGAGTATCGGCCGGGTATACCACCCGGCGAGCTGCTACCCGATCCAGAATTCTCTAAGGAGCGCGAGGAGCTAAGATGGGTCCCGGCCATGGCATTGGACGGGGATCTTCTCATGTACCTGAGGGCGGCTCGGTCAATGGCCGCTTTCGCCGGTATGTGTGACGGCGGGTCCCCGGACGATGGTTGCGTGGCGGCGTCTCGAGACGACACTACCATCAATGCTTTGGACATCTTGCACGACTCTGGCTATGATCCCGGTAGGGCACTTCAGGCTCTCGTCAAATGTCCAGTACCTAAAGGCATCGACAAGAAATGGTCCGAGGAAGAGACTGTAAGTATGATCGTTCCTTTGCCACCGTGAGCCTAATTGAAGCTCACGGCAGCTCGCCCGATACAGGCGAGAAGTGACGGATTGTCGTTGTGTTGACCGTAGAAGCGATTCGTCAAGGGTTTACGGCAATTTGGGAAGAACTTTTCACGCATTAGGAAGGACCTTTTGCCGCACAAAGACACGGTAAGACTCGAAAACATACGGAAGTGTCTCTCCCTGGTGCTCTCTCTCCAAAAGTGTCTTTCCTACGTGTAGAACGAGAGAAGTATACGCGACAAAAAATTGCGCCAAGAGCGATCTTCTCACTTCTTTTCATATTACAGTGCGAAAAATTTCATGCGATTCTCCCTCCATTTCGCGCGATACATGTCGCTTTAAAGGAAAGTCAAACGTCCCGAGAGTTCTCACATTTTCCGAAAGAGAGAGAGAGAGAGAGAGAGAGTTTTCTTCACGACGCAGTAGAGAATATCATCCGTCGTCTGTGCAGCCGGAGTTGGTCGAGTTCTACTACTTGTGGAAAAAGACGCCCGGTGCCAATAATAATAGGCCGCACCGTCGTCGCCGGCAGAGCTCGCTGCGAAGGATCCGTAACACGCGCAACTCCCGCGCCGGCACTCCGAAAGAGGAGGTGCCGACGCCTACGAAGGACACAACGCCGACAGCAAACGTCAACACGAAGGAACCTGCGTCCGAGGCCGAGAGCGTGCCGGTCGGCACGCCGGCCAGCCACAACCCCGGTGGTGAGATCAGCTCCGTAACCGAGGACGACAACTCCGAAGAGGACAGTGACTCGCGCGACACCAACACGAACGGCGCCGCTCACTCGTGCCAGCACTGCTTCTCCACCAGCTCGAAGGACTACCAGGTGGCCGGCAAGGATCGTCTGCTCCTCTGCACGGAATGTCGCGCGCATTTGAAAAAGACCGGCGAGCTGCCGCCCGCGCCGCCTTACCTCTTCCGCCCGGTCCCGGCGGAGTCACCGGAGAGCCCCGGTAGAATGCGTACGCGTAACAAGGCTAAGGAGACGCCGAGACCAGCGAGACCGCGACGCACCGGCGGCACCGACACGCCCGACCAGGAGAAGCAGCAACAGTCGCCCGACAAGAGCAAGAAGAAATCCTCCAAAGTGGAGACGCCGAAGAAGGGTACACAGAAGCGCTCGCACGCGGACGACGCCGACGACGACAAGGAGGCGCAAAAGCGGAAGCGCGCCGGCGGCGGCGACCGCGCCGAGAGCCCCTCTGAGTCGCTCACGACAGACAGTAACTCCCTGATGGACGAGCCGGAAAGGGAGACAGAGGCTGACACGAACGAGAATCAACCGACTACGCCGACGGTGACCGGCGTGGCCGCGGAAGAGCCGGTAAGTCCAGCCGTAACGACTCCCGAGGAACCGTCCGAGCCGACGCCAGTGTCCACTCCCGTGCCGGCGGCGATCCAGAGCCTACCGATCTCGGTGCCGGTGATACACAGCCTGGAGAAGAAGCCGCCGTTGCTCGAGCCCGAGCCGTTGCTCGACCAGGGCAAGGCGGTGGATCATCAGATGGAGGACTCCGTGCCGCCGTTGGCCATGAGTCAGCCGCTCAAGTTGGAGCCGTTGGTGCCGATGGAGTCCGTGGTGTCGCCGCCGACCTCCAACGACGACGCGAAGGAGCCGGAGCAGGGACAGCTGAACCTCAGCGTGTCGCAGCCGCTGGTGGCGCCCGGACAGCCGACGGCCGATGCCGCGGTGCGCAACCTGTCGCAGACTCTGCCGCCCGGCGCCGGTATCGCCTCGCAGTCCATGCCGGTGATATCGCCCGGTCAGCAGCAGAACGTCGCCGGCGGACTGCCGAGCGGCCTCAGCATGCAGTACGCGGCGAGCAACGTGCAATCGCAGCAGCAGCCGCCGCAGAACGTACCGCAGAATCTGTCGCAGAGTATGACGCAGTTAGCGTCCAGCGTGGTGCCGGCCAGCATGGCGCCGAACGCGCCACCGAACATGGGACCAAACCTCCGCGGCCACGCGGAGCCCCTGCCGCCGTTGAACCTCAACATCTCGCAGAGCCAAATACCGACCGGTATGGGAGCGATCGGCCAGATGTCGCAGATCCAGCCGCCGATGCCGAGCTCGCCGCAGCCGCTCGGCCTCACCGTCATGTCGTCCGAAGGCAGGGCCGTTGAGAGAATCGCGGACGACAGGTTGTCGGGCGAGAGGACGCGCGACGGCCGTATTCCCGTCGAGCGGATGACGTCGGACAGGCACCAGGAACGCGGCACGGAGAGCGGCGAGCCGGAACGTCCGAATGAACCGAGCAATCTGTTCCAGTCCCTTCAGCCCGGCGGCATGCTGTCGATGGACAAGCCCCCCGCAGGCATCTACAATTTAGCCGGCACACCGCCGATGGAGCCGCAGAACCTGAAGATCAAGCAGGAGATCATACCGCCCGAGCCGGACCCCCTGCAGAGCCTGAAGGAGGTCAAAGTGCCGGGCTTCCAGAGCTCCTCGTTCCCGGGGCCGAGCCTCGACAACATCAAGAAGGATCCGGACGGCGCGAGCAAACCGCCCACGCCGAGCAAGCAGTCGGTGCAGAACTCGGCGCCGGCACTGGTGCCGCATCTTCAGCCGGTCGCAGCCTCGCCGACGGCGACGCCGACGCCCAGCCTGCCGCCGCCGCCCAGCTCGATACCCCAACCGGTGATGCACCCGGCGCAGCAGCCGAGCCCGCACATGGCCCACCCTTTCCACCCGCACCTCGTGCACCACACGCTCTTCGGGATGCACGCCTACCATCCGCACGCGTACCCGGGGTACGGAGCGGTGGCGGGATACCCGTCGTTCCCGCCGTACGCCTACGGCCCGGTCCCGCACGCCATCCCGCCGCCTTCGCCGCAGAGAAGTCAAGAGAGCAGCACCATGATGACCGCTCATCACGCCAGCACCAGCTCGAGCGTCACCACGAGGGACGAGGGGGAGAATCTGATCGCCTCTCATCATCACTCCTCCAGCATGCACCAGGCGACCACCCTGCACCACGACAAACTGCTCACCATTTCCTCCCACAGCTCTCATAGTCATTCCTCGTCCCACGGGTCGAGCCAGCGCAAACCGTCGATGGTCTCGGCTACGTGCTTGACGTCCACCAGCTCGGCACACCATCACCATCGGCCGCCGCAGCAGCAGCCCCCGATCGTGCAAGAGCCGAAGATCGAGCAGGACATGGAGCCGGAGCCGGAAGAGCCGGCCAGTCCGCGCGGCCCGTCGCCGGAGCCGCGCATCGAGGACTCCGAGTGCCACCGTTCCCAGTCGGCGATCTTCCTGCGCCACTGGAATCGCGGCGAGAACAACTCGTGTACGCGCACCGACCTGGTGTTCAAGCCCGTGCCGGACACGAAGCTCGCGCGGAAGCGCGAGGAGCGCTCGAGAAAGCAAGCGGAGCGTGAACGGGAGGAGCGCGACCGCGCCGCCGCGGCGGCGCAGCAGGCCAGGAAGATGACGACGCCGGAGAAGCAGCCGGAGAGCTGCAAGCCGCCGAGTCGGGGACCCCTCGAGCCTGTCGTCTCGCCATACGACAGGTACGCGGCGCGCCCGAGCTCGTACGCGGACACCCCCGCGCTCAGGCAGTTGTCCGAGTACGCGAGACCGCACGCGGCCTTCTCGCCCGCCAGACACCCGGCGCCGCCCGACCCTATGCTGCATTACCTGTACGGGCGCGAGGCCGCTGCTGCGCAGCGCCTCGAGCTGGAACACCTGGAGCGGGAGAAGCGCGAGCGGGAGATACGAGAGTTGCGCGAGCGGGAGTTGAACGACCGTCTGAAGGAGGAGCTGCTGAAGGGCACGCCGAGGCCGATGCCGGCGCCGGTCGACCCGCACTGGCTCGAGATACACCGACGTTACGCCGCCGGTCTGGCCGGACCCTCCGGCCCGCCTCAGGCCTTGCACCAGTTCGGTCTCTACGGCGCTCCACCGGGTCCCAGCCAGCTGGAACGGGAACGTCTGGAACGGCTAGGTAATTGCTCATATCAAGTTCTCTTCGAGTGTCTGTCGTCGTCGGGGCTAGAGGTAGGAACATCGTCGACTGGTCCGATCGTTGTACGACCGTGTATGCTTTTCAATATTGACATTGTTTTAGCGACACTGTATGACGAGTGTGTAGTCGAGAAGGAAAGATCGGTAGGCCGGGAGAGAGGTGAAGTTAGACGAGGAGAGAAAGAGAGGGAGAGAGTGTGTGCGTATGTGTGTGTGTGCTTGTGTGCGCGCGTACGCAGGGCGAGGAGAAACATCATTAGGGGGGAGGGGTGGGTACTATGTAGCTGGCCTAGATATTTAAACCTGAATTAATCGCCGATTTCTTCAGCGTCGGTTAACTCGACCCGTAAAGGACACTTCTCGGCTCTTTGTCCGCATCTCCCGTGACTCGCCGGTGACTGACGCAATGCAGTCTCGAGGGAGAAAGTTTCGTTAAAGAGAACTCGTATTCTTATTGACGTGTTTGTTTATCGGCCGAATTATTACGACGACCGTATACCGACCGGTTAACCGGAGGTGAAGAAATCCGGCATAAAAGAATCGTATCAGTGATGATCGAGTTATGTGATCGAAGCACTGTCGGGTTTAGGAATACCGACTGCAGCCGGTGGGGGGCCAGCGGCTGGAGGGGCTGGCCATCCCGTGGCGGCACACCACCATGGTCAGCTCGAAGAGCGACTGGCTCTGGCCGCTGACCCGATGGTCAGGTTACAGATGGCTGGCATCTCTCCCGAGTATCACGCTCACACTCACGCGCATACGCATGCGCATACGCACTTGCACTTACATCCGGGACAGCAACAGGCCCAGCAACAGGCTCAGCAACAGCAGGAAGCCGCTGCGGCTGCGGCTGGATTTCCTCTGCCGGGTAGGTCCTACACTTCAGGATGTTCTTCTTAAGCTTCTTAAAAAAAAACAAAAAAACAAAAAAAGAGAGTGAGAGAGAAAGAAAAGAGTTTTCCGTTCCTCCGCTTTTATCGCTCGCCGGTGCTAGGCTACCGTGTTGTTTCTCATTGATCGACCTGCCACCTACACACCTACCGTCTAGGTCAAGGCGATCCTCCTTTCTCGCACCTTTACCGTCGGCGCGCCTGCGAATCTCGGGAGTCCTCGACTCTGACCTCCGGTCAGTCGCTTATCGCCGTCAGGTGCAAGTGCGAGTGTACGCGTGAGTGTCGTCGAGGTGCAGGCGCGACTGTGCGTGTGCGCGTGCGTGCGTGTGTTCGCTTAATGAGAAGTAACGTGTCCCCGATGAGAGAAACGCTCTGAGATAGAGCTTGACTAAGGCTAGGAGTCGAGTTCGTCGCAATTCCTCCTGTCTGGGCGAGCCGAACGCTGTACGCTTCCGAATACCGATTGTCACACGAGAGAAAGAGAGAGAGAGAGAGAGAGAGAGAGGGAGAGAGAGAGAGAGAGAGAGAGGGAGAAAAAGAAAGAGAGAGAGAGAGAGAGAGAGAGAGAGAGAGAGAGAGAGAGAGACGATCACACGCGCGACTATCACGAGCAAAATCCGTATGCTTCTCAAACGTCACACGAGACCACTGTGTACCATAGTTGTGTAGTCGTTACTGTACGGTTGATGTGTCGTGCGCCCGACTCGCACGTTCGTTTCTCCAACATCTCTCATCTTTGTCCGTAGCTGCGGCCAGCGCCAATTACCCTCGACCCGGCCTGATGCCGCGCGATCCTGCCCTGGCGCTGCATCCAGCGGAGCTCCTAGGAAGACCGTACGCGGACATGGCCGCGCATCACGAGCAGCTACAACGGCATCTTATGATGGAGCGCGACCGTTTCCCACCGCACCCGTCCCTCGTCGCCCACGAGGAGTACCTAAGGTTCGTGCTTTCCAATCAATAAGTAACAACTTGCCTGACCTTCAGCATGACTTTTGTTGCCACCTAAGTGCGTACATAACATAGTGTACGGGACTAACGAAGGGTGTTTTTTAGACAACAGCGCGAGCGTGAGCTCAAAATTCGCGTACTGGATGAAGCAGCACGTGGATCTCGTCCCTAAACTTACGCGTACACTTGTTTTTTTTTTTTATTTATATAAATATATATATATATAAATATACATACATATATAGTCTTGATATCGTTTAGGGCGCGCCAATGGAAATGCGAAGGGCGCGATACGCGCTGCCTGAGCGTTCCTCCGACGCCACAGAGTAATTTATACATACATATATATATATACATATATATATATCCTATGTAATTTTAACACCTAAGATCAGAAAATATTTTTATGGTCTTTCAGACGTATTTAAGCGATGAAATATACGCGCATATTACGCATATACACAGCGAGGAAGCGTGATCAATGTAAAACTCGCTAACTGTAAATATCACGACGAGATATTTTAACCCCCGAACGTTACAGATCAATCTGGCATCATTAATGAGAAGGAAGGAGGGAGCAAGAGGGACGGAGAGAGATCAAGATTGATACAAAAATGACAAAAAGTCGATATGTGTAAGCTATTTTCAAATTTCTTCAAGTATCATTATTATCTATCGCGTCTCTCGATCGATTCTACTGGTCTTGCTTTTTTTTCTCTTTTTTTTCTTTCTTTTATATTCGATTTAAGTGATGGTGCATATGCCAAAGTGCTTGTACGGGGGGAAGTTATACTGCGGTTTTTAATCCTTCCATGTGCATGTAGATATATATACATATACATATGTACATATATATATATACATATATATACATATATATGTGTGTGTGTGTGTGTGTGTGTGTGTGCGTGTGTGCGTGTGTGTGTGTGTGTGTTTTTATTATTTGTTCTTGCAAATAGGGCAGAAACGTGCGTTACTGTATTATTATTATTATATGAAAATGAAAAAAAAAGAAGGACACTATGTAGATAAAATGGGGGCAATAAGTTGGGAGAATTTTGAAGAAACGAATAGTGTAGATATGCGGTATGAGGATCTCCTCAATAGTTTCGAGAAAATCTTATACTTCATGTATTTCAAGCTGTAGAAATTAAATTTGTTCGAAGAAAACGAGACACTCTCTCCGTTTTTTTAATCGCGATTGAACGATGATGTTAAACGCACAACATTGCTACGATGGTAAGTATATATTCATGAGATTATTAAGTGCAAAAAAATGTAATTTACCATCAATTCACTGTGTGNATATATATATAATTATAGATATATATATATAATAATTATTGAAAGTATTTATTATCATTTCTATCTGTTCTTCAGAAAATAGTGCTTCAGATTAAGCGTTTTCCGAGCGTACCAAAGCTCGTTTTGTTATCATTATATATTATCACAGATGTAGATATCAAACTGTTGCGTTCAAACGTGATTACAAGAACTTTCTTTCGAGCGTAGTTCAATTTCTACAGTTTGAAATACGTAATCAAAAATACCAATGTTGGAGAAATCGCGAGGAGGGACTGATTCCGCGTACTTACTGCGAATGGAACAGTTTGTTTGTACATCTTTTTACGTCGCGGTACTTTTTATATTACTTCAAAATAATTCTAACAACGCATAAAAGAAGGAAACGTAGTATGTATGTACGTAAGGAGAAGCGAGTATGTATGTGTTTGCTTACGCGATCATAGAACCGATTAAATTAGAGCATTTTCTGCCAAAAGTTCGTACAAACGAACGACGAACTGCGAACCGCACAAAAATCATGCTGATTAAGCTCGATCGCAGTCGCATAAACAAAGGAAAATGTAACTTAAGTTCCACCATTATGTTCTTAATCTTATCGGAATTGTATATTTTCTATAATGTGTCACTTATGTTATTTCCTTAATCCATCAAAATTATATATTCTTGTATTCTTTAAGGTATCTTTTTGTTGATACAGAAGAGATACAGATCTTCAGTGGCTTTTGTTAACGCGTATATGTGTGTGTGTACTTGTGCGCGTGCATATACGGTGTTGATCGCTAGTAAACTAGATTAAGCGGAGAGAAAATATACACAAAGCATACGCGCACACACAAAGCCTCCGAAGATAAATCCGCGAATTGCCGGGAGATTTTGTCTTAGCCAGCAGTGAATATTTCCGCGTCATGCGCGTCTTCGACAATATCGAATGTTGAAGCAGCCTCTGATGAGAGCCCGTGATGAGGGACATGTAAATTATATACTGTGTAATTGATTTTATGTAACCTAATTATTTAATTGAGTAAAAATTTCATATGAAACTCTCGTGTGCGTGCGTGCGTGTGTGCGTGCGTGTGTGTAATGTACGTACGATATTCAACGTTTTTGCTGCTTCACCGTGCATCTTCTCTCGCGTTTTCGACGATTGCGCGTGTAATTATCGTATTCGGGGTAATTAGGCGTCACTGAAGTCGCGACATTTGCTCAACCAGGATCGCGATAAATAAGGAAGTCCGGTGGTTAATTTTCACTGTAACATTCCCCGGAGCGTGTAATCGTGCGTAGAAAACCGATGAAATCGGTAAGCACGAGTGGCGGCAGGAGGAGAAGGGGGAACGAGATGGAAACGTGCAGCGTGACGGGACGCTAATTAGTTTTGCAGATGGAATTTGTCTCCCTTGCCCTACTCCGCCGTCCAGTCGCTACGGTCATCCGCGTTTTTACGTAGCTTGATGCGAAACGCAGCCGCCGACCACTTTACACGGAATGCATCGCCCGCGTAGCGAGCGTGAAAGCGTATGTGCGTGTGGGAGGGCGCACACGCACGTCGCAGGCACGAAGTCGACAGGCGTGGATTATAAATTGAGTTACGTTATACAGCGTATGTACGGAACGGTGAATAGAGAGAGAGAGAGAGAGAGAGAGAGAGAGAGAGAGAGAGAGAGAGAGCCAAGGTGCGAAGGACTGCTGGAATGATTCCGGCGAAATGAAACTGCTGCTGCGTCCCCGTTTGAAGGTAATAACGTTTGTTTACTAATCGAAGGTTCACTTCGATGTCCTCGGCGTTATTAATAGTGAATAACAGTCTCTCCTCTCTTCTCTGAGGTGTACAATATTTAATACGATTTATAAATTTACCTTTGCATCTCGTTTTTCTTTTTTTTTTTTTTTGTTCGCACTTGCAGCGTGACACGGTGGAGCGGGACCGGACGAATAAATATCAAGAGGAAAGAGGAAGAGGAAGGACCGAAGAGGAGGAGAGAGAGAGAGAGACCTTTCTCCGCCCCTGATTCCACACACGTGCGGCTCACGTGTGTGTCGGACTCGGCTGAGGAAAAGAGGGAGAGAGAGAGAGAGAGAGAGAGAGAGAGAGAGCGTGTGTAAGGGAGGAAGGAGAGCAGAGATGAGGAAACTCCGTATTCCGGAGGAACGGGAAGAGAGACCGCGGGTCGACCCTCTCATTGACGAAGACGGTGTCATCGTGAGCGGCCGGCGAAAGCGCTGTTCCGAGATAGCGGCCACCGAATACCGGAGAGACGGAGCATGGCGGCGCGCAAAAAAGAAGAATCGACGAAGCAGCGGTGTCAAGCGAACGCTCGAGAGAGGGATCGCACTCATAGGTGAAGATCGATTTGCGAGAAATTGCACTTTCGCGCGCCGAGACGTGAACGTGATTATCATCGCGAACGGCGAAGTGTAAGACGCGTGTTTGAAGAAGATTAGCTCGAGCTGCGCTCTTTATCACGTCAGGAAGATAAAGAATTCAGAGAATTGGTGGTCGATTTCGATGGCCAATTGACGAGTTTATTTTTAAACTAGTCTTGATCTATGTTTGTAAAAAAATACGATACGACGTACTTGTAAACATTGCATGCTTGCCATAGTTTTTGTAACAATTTGCTAGAAACACCTTGATGGTAATATTTTGCTGAATATTATGGAATCGATGAAAAGTGAAAATTATTGGAAAATTACTGAATATATATATATA